GGATACGAGTTCACCCGCTCCTCATCGAATCCTCATGTTTGTATTCAGAAGACTTTTTTCTTACTAGATTCCCAACAGCCTAATCTATCTTCTTAGATCCGCCTATGGAGAAAAAATCGCTCCCAAATGCAATGTCGGAAAGATAGCTGGGGACGTAATCGTTGCTGTCGTGGTGTAGATTTGAATCGGAATTTCGACTTCCATTTCAAAGGTTGGTCATCCTTTCCGATTCAGTGGAAGAGATTGTTTTTTCACCAGCGCCCAGTACGAAACTGCTTGATTCTCGCTACCCCAATAGGTTCCAGAACATACGCTTTAAACTTGTTTTATTACCTTTTTGCTTGACTTTTTGGTCAGTGCTGTTTCTTCCGTGTCTAGCTGATTGAAGTTCGAGACTATAAGCCTTTTTACAATTCTGACGTAGGTAGAACTGAAAACAAACCAAACAAAGGTGAGTTCTTCAGAGCGCGATCGAAGCCATGCTGTTCCAATTGCTATTAAGACTTTACGGTGACCATGTGCGCACGGCGCTTTCCAAGAATAGCTAGAAGACCAATCCAAACAAAATATAGTAGTTATTCTTATTACAGAAAGCGGTTCTAGTGATGATCCTTGCTCGGAAATCTATCAAGGCCCAGATGCTTTCAGTGAACCGGAAACAAAGTGAGGATAACGTTCTTTGTACTTAAATTGGTATTTTCAAAAATCCGTCAAATAACGGCCATTAATTATTAGTTTTTTGAGGCTCGTCCTATTCTACCACATATTTTAAGAGCTTCAAAAATTGACCGATCCTATCTGTCCGCTGTTTGATTATGGAGTTCCCTCAACTCTCCTCTTATTAGGAATATGTATTCTTCTCCTCCTCAAAGGTAGGAGTATAGGTAGGGTCCTATCTCCCACCAGGTTATCGACATCAAGTTGCAGACCCATGTGTGAGGGCAGAAGTGACGATTTTTCGATCTGGTCCCATGAGGTATTGCGAAGGCTTGTCCATCCATACAAATGCTACAGGGATTTCCTATGAGACATGGGTGTGTGGCGTACTCCACTAACTTTTAACTTTCAGAGCAATACGTGATGCAATTTTGTCAAAACGATATCGAGGCCGTGTCGATGCTTTCATTACCCTCCACACCTACTCACAAATATGGATTCATCCCTATGGTCATCGTAAGGACAGTTATCCTGGAGATATTCAGGAGCTGGTAAGCTTTTTAATGTTGCCTTTACATCATTTTCATTTTGTTCCGATTCCCAATTTTTGATCTCATGAAATAGCTACTACTGGGAAATTACTATTATTTCCAAAGTCGGTCAATTATTACCAACTATTCTGTTGTTTGAGCTCACAAAGAGGTGTTGAAGTGCTTAATTGTCAACGTTTCGGTAGGATGGTCCTCTCAGGAGCCCATACTGAGGAAATGNTTACATCATTTTCATTTTGTTCCGATTCCCAATTTTTGATCTCATGAAATAGCTACTACTGGGAAATTACTATTATTTCCAAAGTCGGTCAATTATTACCAAATATTCTCGACTTCTCCCAGATTTTTCTGAAATATTGTGAAAGTTACGACGGACTTAAATGAAAAGCTTTTTGAGCTCACAAAGAGGTGATGAAGTGCTTAATTGTCAACGTTTCTGTAGGATGGTCCTCTCAGGAGCCCATACTGAGGAAATGAACTTTCCTAGGGAAACATCCTCTTATCGAAATTCACATAATCCTTATGAACAATCGCTGGAAACCCATTAGTAAAACCTGCTGAATTTCGTAGCACCAGGGGAAACAAAATGAGAGTCCACGCTTATCCCACCAACTTACGAATAAGTGGCTGTCGACGACTTTTTAGGTGGTTACGGTTACGATCACTTCTTACTCATTGACTGGACGTAGCATTTAGTCATACAAACGGGTTTCGCAGGATTTTGGTTCAGCTTCGTGGTTTAGATTAACGGAATTTGACCAAAATCTTATTAATCAACAATGAATGAAGCTGCCCCACGCGATTTTTGCGAGGCTTAATCAGCAGGAAATCTGATCTGATGACGTCCTGACAGCCCGGTCCTAAGGGTGGACTGTGGAAGCAATTTGTAATACCATACTGCCCTTCGGTACCCGCATGGACCACATAAGGTCACTGATGCAAAAGGCAAGGCCTAAACGTGAAAGATAGCTTAACGCTAATGATTTTCTTTCAGTACGATGTGGGTAAGAAGGCCGCGAAAGCTCTGGAGAAAGTCTATGGAACAAAATATGTTGTCGGAAGTGGAGCGGATACGCTATGTAAGTCTTTGAGACTTTATTCGATTGTCGGACTCGATTGATTAATCGATTTGTTGCAGATCCCGCATCTGGTGGAAGCGAAGATTGGGCTAAACATGCCGGTGGTGTGAAATACGTCTATTTATTGGAGCTACGACCAGATGAGAAAAGTGAGTTCTCTCAAGAGTTTATTCCCTTGCACTGGCTTGTCACTGGGAGGGGCTTTCGAAGTGGGCGTGGCTCTCCATTTCCATTACTGCCCGAGACATTTATCGTGCAAAGCGGATTCACAGAAAATTGAACGCTAATGGCGTAAAGCCAAAAACGATGTAAAGGACTAAGTACGCTACTCTATCTAGAGAAATGTTAGGAAGTCTTTGAGAGAGCTATCTTTCAGATTGGGACGGTTTCATCCTTGGTGAATCGGAGCTGGTGCCTACGGCTCGAGAAACATGGGAAGGTGTGAAGGTGGTCGCCAGCGCTGTATTGGAGCGTGCCAAACGAAAAATGGAAAAGGAAAACATAGGTCAGTCTTGATTACGGTACCGCATGGTTCCACCAAGAGCTGCTGCTGCGGGACACCAAAACGAAATTAGAGCCAAAATGACACTAATATCAGTTTTAGTGGACAAAACAAAATATCTGTGCTACTTCGTGAACAACAGATAAACAAATATAAAACAATATCCAAAGCCGAGCCAATCAATAGCAATCAATAGTTGACAGCATAAACTTTTTTAATTTTTTTTGCCAATTATTCCTTTCGCTGACTCCGCCTCCCAGTCTTTTTTTACTCTCTTCGGTACTTTTTTTCAGGGAGAACCCTAGGCTCCGTCAAGTCTATAGAATCAATGAATATTCACTATTAGGCTGTAGTCAATCCCATTTTAGAAATTACAAAATTAAGTTCAAGATGTCAGTTGCGGACCCCATAGTCCCTGCAAGTCTCCTGAGTGGAAACCCCCATAGTACGAGCTAAACGGCGTTTATAGTGAGTGCCAGAAAAACAGCACATGATGCAAGCGGTCGCGTTGCGTCATATGCCTCTTTTCAGTGTTCTAGCGGTGTTCTAAATGACAAACCGTACTTTCAGATCCTCCCACAGCGAAACGATTCCGCTTCGGCGATGGTACCGAAGGTTCATGCTACGACCTACGTCATGCTTGTAAACGTTGGGTGGCTGAGCGACCGGATTTATGTCGATCAGTACCGATATTTATGCGTGAGAACTGTGCTTATTCATGTGGAAAATGCTAGTGTCGGTGGGAAACCCCGCCTAGCCAAGAATTGCTCCGCCTTTTTTCTATAGGATTTTCCAAGCGCATTTACATGACGAAATTTACCGAATATTCAATTTTGGCTTACTTTTTTTTCTTTTAAACTGCTCCCTATCCTCCTCTCGGTAGAATCCTTGAGACTGCCCTGTGAAGCGTCACGACATGGCGCTCATACGTCTTCTTGCTGGTACTGAAATCACTTCTGAAGTGAATCATGTCGACGACGCTTTACGTTCGACGTTGCGCGCGTTTCGTTGCCAGAGTTTTCCTAGTGTCTGTTGTATATACGTTGTTAAGAGTGTGATATGATAAAGATTTAATCGATTTTCGATTGCTACCCCTATTTGTAAAGGAGAATTGTCCTAATTAAATAAATATGAACCCATGGAGTCTGCTGGAATATCCTTATTTTGTACTGCCCTTGGTCACTTAGCCAGTTAGCGGCGGCTAAGATGGGTTGTACACCGATATTCAGTAAGGTGTGAGGACAGGGCAGAAGGAGAGGAAATGGGAGGAAAGGGACCATTCTGCCGAGATTCTGACTTAAGACTGATAGCGATCAACTATCCTACTTATATAATCGGCTAAGTGTGTCTGTTGGTGTGCTTGTGTGTTTGTGTGTGTATGTGTGTGTGTGTGTGACCGGAAATTCATAACTCCTGTCCCCGTGCACCGAAAGCGTTCAGATTTGGTAGGAGTACAGGCGGCACGATGGTGACACTTATAGTGGGTGGAAGGACCAGACTCCATCCAGAAGGGGCGGGATTTGTGAGAAATAAATGTTTGAGCGAAAATTCAGTACTCATGTCCCTGTGATCCTAAAGCACTCAAACTTGGTAGGAGTACGGGCGGTAGGATAGGATCACTTTTAGTGGGTGGCAGGACCAGACTCCGCCCACAATGGGCGGGGTTTATGCTTTCAATGCAAGAATTCACAACTCCTGTCCCCGCGATCCCAGAGCACTCAAACTTGGTAGGAGTACAGACGGTAGGATAGGAACACTTATGGTGGGTGACAGGACCAGACTCCGCCCAAAGGGGGCGGGGATCGCGCGAAAATTGTCAATTTGACCATAGGGCGTTCAAAGTATTATGATTGCACGAAAATTTCACGGAGGGACGCTTTCATAGCTCATCTGTCCTTTTATTTCCTGAATAGTCGCCTTTGTGATATTATACGATGCTCTTACCTGACACAGCGAAGATGGCTTACAGAAAAATCGCTCCCAATTCAGAGCTAATACTGAGGGTGTAGAGCTTTCAAGGAAAAAGGAGAATCCGAAAAGTAATTTACGCATAGCAAATTTCTCACAGGGAGGAGAACCGCATGGTTCTCCTTCCTGTGAGAAATTGAGAATGTGACCGAAGCCGAGCGATAGGCATGGGTACCACCTCAGTCTTTTCAAGGCACGATTCACTTCAAGGCCACCTTGACAGAAGACGTAGGGAATGGGATCTAGAGTACGACTTTCTCCTTGGAATGGCGATCCAAGTTGAAATCATTTTACATGAGTTAGTATGACCCATTCCACTTTGCCCCTACCGCAGAAGAGCATCCAACGACCACAATTATTGTTAGAAAAATATTGACGACAAAAAAACGAGAGAATAAATACACAGGGCACGAAGGAATTACCGGTGATCTGTCTTGCGACTTGCGGGACGCTGACGCGAGCGGTAGCAACGCGTTTGGCAATTGGGGTAAGCGATTCATAATGCCTGAATCGTGGAACAAAAAAGTGAAGAGAACAAAGGACGTTCACTGCGTCTAGAACTGGCAGGAGATTCAGCTGAGATGCAATAGACGATGGCTAAACACCATTATCAATCAATAAAATCTGCAAACAATACTTTATCAATCAATAATTCCACAAACATCAAAACATGACTAGAAATAGAGAGCATTATGGGCAAAGACAACATAGCAGATCGTCTAATAGCAGTGTGGAGTACAGTATTTGAGAAACTCACTGTAGTCAGAAATATTGATGAACTGCTTAACATTACTTTATCAAAGCATCACTGATAACTCAAAGAAACTGATTTATGATAAATTGAACGGATTCTCTTTGAGAGATAATAAATATTTGTGTAGAATTTGGCACCGATCAATAGAATCCTTGAATATGAGCATATAGTACGAAGAAACTTTTCTAACTACAGATCTGTGATATCTGCACCGGCACCTTATTATGAAAGAAATCGATAGAAACCCTGTACAAAGAGGACGTTTTCCATATAAGACCCTACACTAGCACTGGTCCATTAGGTTCAATTCAGCTACGATTGACGAATGAGTTCTTTTAGCTGGCATCGGCATCGCTTGGGCTTTCCTTAGTCTCGACGACTACCTGAGCTTCTAGTGGCTCTGATATCGAAATCACTCTTTTTGGCGATTCGGGAGCGACCTGAAAAAATCCCTGAACCACAATCAAATCAGATTTAAATCGTAAAAAAACGGAATAAAAATATTCGTATAGCATGGGGAGTTTATTGTAGTAATAAGGTAGTTCAGTGGTTGAAGGCGCCGAATCGCTTTCGAGTTATCCACAAGATCAGATCTCCCACATTTCAGCCAACTCTTTTATGCTTTTGCAGTCGAAAAAACTGTATCACACATTATAGGGGGAAAATCGCTGTCTGCCTTGGCTTTTGCAATTAACCATTTTAAAATACCAGTATCTATGCCTCTCTTTGCATTTCGATGAAAATCAAGTGTGTGGCGCATCTATGACTGATGCGCAGTAGCACTGCTGAATTTTCAGCAAAAAATTAGCCAGGCCCTCTTCCTTTCATGCTTAGCAAGAAGAGACCTACAAGGAGTGAGAAGTGGGAAAATTAGGTATATAGAAGGGGGTTAAAATGTTAGATGTATTGAAACATTCCAAGCTGACGCAAAGTTCTGGTTGCTCATGCTTCCGGGAGCTAACTGAGGAAAGAAAAACTTATAGAAATGAAAACTTTTTTGCATTCGTTTTTGGGTTTCAGTCATTCATTTTGTTTTTTTTT